TTACTATGCCGTACTTAGTTTGGGCATTTAGACTACCGTACCCGGGTTACTCCGTGGCTTGTACTTTGGCTTTCTCCTAGTATATCCTTTTTATATAAACGGCTAGCTGGAAGCCTTCCTCCTTCCTACAATATCTTCCTTTACTTTATTTTATTTACTATTGTAAATAATGGTTACCCCCTATATTAGAAATATATTAAAAGATAAGCTCTTTTTAGTACTATGAACGGTTTTTTAGAATAGTAAAAAAAACTAAAAAAGAAATTATAAAGAAAAATAAAATACTAATTAGTACTAATTAGTGAGAGTACTAGGATTAGTATTAAGAATACGAAAATTAATACTAAAGATCCTGGATTAGTACTAAGATTATTTAGTACTATTGTGATCTCCTTATATAGGTATAAATATTTTATTAATTTATATATTACTAATAAATTTATTATGGTATATTTTATAATAATGGGATAAAGATACTTCTTTTTAAGTATTTCGTATTTAATTATTATTACGGGGATGGATAATATAGTTGGTCATACAGTAAGGACTATTACTTCTAAATACTATAATAGCTAGAAGTAATTCGTAGTATAGAAAGTAAAAGAGAAGACGTTTTAAGAAGGAAGGAAGGCTTCTAGCTAACCGTCTATATAGAAAGGATATACTATAAGAGAGCCAAAGTACGAACTATTTAGTAGCCCGGGCACGGTAGTCTAGGAGCCTAGACTGGGTATAGTAAGGAAGCCTCTATAGGCTATAGCAGCCCGGCTAATCTAAGCTATTATAATTAGTAAAGGCTATGATACGAGAAAGATACTTCTTGAGTATTTCGTGGGTAGTTATTTAGTAAAGAAAATATATAGATTTAGCGTTGTTATTAAAGGGCTAGCTCTCGGTAGTATATTTAATATTATTTAGTCAATATTAAAATCTTTTATAGTAATTAAAGGTATTAATATTATAACTATCGGTATTTATTTATATAAAATACTTGGGATATTATTTATATAATTTATAGAAACTATTAACTATCTGAATACTAACTTCTATTTAAATAAATTTTATTTCGATCTACTACTATAGGATGTAAGTGCGGGAGAACAAAGAGGTATTTATAGGTAGAAGATAAGGCTATATTTGGAGCCGCTATATTATTATAGAGAAAACCTAGTTTTAGTAGCTATAAGGTGTAGTTTTATAGCTATACTTTTTGTATTCGGCTGGATTTTAGTAAAAATCTATAAATTGCTACAACTACTTACACTTACCCCAAATCCTGTATTTAACTAATAAGAAGGCTAGAATCCTTACCGCAATATACTAAATTTCTAATAATTTTAAAGGACCCCGACCCTATATTTAAGATTGTATCGAAAGCCCCTCAGCGTTTCTATACCCTATAAATATAATACCCTAATCTCTTATAGCCTAAAACCAACGAATATAAAATAGTAGGGAGTATTTTGGAAGAGCCTTACTATTATATTACTATATAGGGAGTATAGCTGCGGGCTATATACGGTAATATAATATTATCCCTAAAGTTATAAAACGACTCCGAATATAATTTAACTTATTAGTTATATTAAAAAAGTATAAAATTAATTTAATGTTAAAATTATTAAATTATTTATTATAGTACAATTAAGCCCGTAATTACTATTTTATTTTATAATAAATTCGGTATAAATAAATTTATTTAAAAGAAGATTCCGATTGTAAGGGATCCGTTAAAGGGATTAATACGTAGTGGATTTATTATTAAAGTGATATATTCATTTTAATAGACTATAATTGATTATAACCTAATACTTATATTAATATATAGTATTACTAAATAAGAATTTCTAAATATTAATAATATTTAATTAAAGAGGTAAAACGGATTCTATTACAATTATCGTACATATACTCTCTACTATATCGGGCTATAATAAGCCGAATCCGGTTCGTTATAGCCTAATATATATAGACTTAGGGGTAATAGATTCATTACCTAATAAAAGTAGAATTAATAAATAAAGAAATATTCAAATTATTCTATATTGTCAATTAGCGGAAAATTTTTTTTTTTTTTTTATAAATATGTAATTCTATATTATCTCTACGATATATATCAATATATTATTTATTATAGGGTTAGATCCCCTATAATAATTATATAGTAATATATTCCGATATTTATTAGCAAGTAAATATCGTTCTATCGTTTACTTTTATAGAGGATAGGTTTAGTTTGGCGGTTATTAAATAAGGCTATACGTATATATTTATTTAATCGTGTGCAACCCTCTAACCTTTATATTTTTCCCTCCTTCTTTCTTTAATTTTAATTTTGTATTTAATTTACGCTACAATTTTCCTTAAATTGGTTTACTCTTATAATTTTGCGTGCCCTTATAATTATAAATTTGATATTTATTACCAAAAAGTTATTTACTTTTTCTTAAATTAATTATTTTATATCTCTTTTAATAAGCTGAATTGAAATATCCTACAATTAAAACTATAAATAAAGAAAACTCTCTATAAAGTAAAAGTGCCGTCTTATTACTTATATATTATATATAATATTTATATATTAAAATAGTTCTAAAAAAACTATTTCAAATTTTATTTTTATACGAAAGCGTTAAAGTATTATTAGTAATACTAAAACAGTATTATTAATATTACTATATATTAGATTATTTAATTGGATAGCGTAGTCCCGTCGGTTAAATCTATTCAATTAAATAAACCGCTCCTACGGGAGCCCTCCCACGGGAGCCCACCTACGTATATAAATCCTATAAATTACTTTATACGTAAGCTTCCTACTTTAAATTCTTTCTAAATTATTATTTTATATATATTTAATTAAGACGTATATTATTATAATATTTAAATACCCTCTCAATAGTATTAGTCGCTTTCAAAGGGAATAGAAAAGGTATATTAGAAAAGTTATTAGCGTTAGAGTTCTAATTATTCCTAAGCAGATCAATTCCCGGAGAAGAATAATACTAAGGAATTTCGGTAACGTATATTTAAATTTTCTCCGAGACCTTTATTTAAAGGTATTTGCCCAAACTCTTCTCCTTTATCCGCCTTAATCTTTTCCTACTCTTCCTAAAAAATTCCCTGTAAAATCCTCTAATTTCAATCTCCTAATACCGTAAATTTACTCTAAAGTTGTAATTAAATTAATAAAGACGATAATATTTATAAGGGCGAAGATCCTCCTTAGAATTGGGAGAAGGCGAATCCTCTTCGTCTTTTATTTTAATATATTACTTTATACCCTAAATATTTATACTTTTCCCTTTTAATTCTAATACTTATTCTTTATATAATATATACTCCTTCTAATCCTTTTAAATAGTAGAGATAGGCCTACTATAGTAGATTTAATCCCTAGGAGATTATCTATCGATTTTTATAAGGGACCTCTCCAACGTACCCTTCCTTCCCTTTAAGAGATTATACTCGGACTTATATTTATTACTATACTTCTAATAATATAATTCGAAAGTATTAAGGAAATTTATAGAAGTTATATAATTAAGCGACCGTTTGCTATATTAGTAATAATTAGTATAGATTCCCCCCTTTATAATTTTATTTATAGAAATGCAATTTACGAAAGGAGTTTAAACCGGCGGAGTTTCCTATTATTATATACTTATATATATTAAAATATAAGTTTTCTACAATCTTTGGACGTAGTAAGAGTAGATAACGGGGTTTCTAAATAAAGAAAAAACGTTAGTTAGTAAAGAAGTAATAATATTTAAAAATAAATAATTTACTCCTTTTTAAATACTTAAATTATAAGGGTAAGAATATATTCCTTCTTTATATTTATATAAGTATTATAATATTTAAAAGGCTAATCGCCCTTTTTTTCGATAAGAATTACCGTATAGTTACGCTTTTCCTTAAGGGAATTGAAAACCCGTAGTATAGTATTCTAATATTCCTAAGCGAGCCCGAACGAAATGTAGAGCTATCGGAACCGATTATAGTTGGAAGGTAAATATTAATGTAAGTATAGTATACTAGCCAAAGTAGGAGATTCGATTATAAAGATTTCGATGTAGGTAGCGAATATATTATAATTGGGCGAATATAGCGTACTACGAAGGCTATTTTAAGAGATAGGTAAATTCTATCCGAAATTAATATAAATTTTAGAGAGGATTTATTTTTTTCTATTAGGGCGTTTATTATTATATTAAGCTTAATTAGTAGAGTGGAAAGGGAAGTAAAATATAAGTTGAATATTATTAGGAGTAATTAATTATTTATAAATAAAAGTATAATTAATTAAGTATTTATATTAGTAAGTATAATTCTGACCTACTTTAGAAAAATCTTGCTAGATTATTTTTTATAGAGGATTATTATAAGAAATTAAAGGACGAAAAGAAGATACTATATTATTATTTAAATTTTAAAAGATAGTAGGTAAGAAAATGAATAAGGGAAGACGAATAATATAAAATAAGGGTTGTAAGGATATTGTATCTATACCTAATTTAAATATTAGGATTTGTAAAAGAAGATCTCTTTTAGAGGTTTAGGAATTTTAATAATTAGCTTAAGCAGCCTAATTATACAAAGGAAAACTTATTCTTCTTTTTCGTCCTATATAAAGTTATAAGGATATTATATTTATACTTAATCTAAATATTAGGATTTACAAAAGAAGATCTCCTCTAAAAGTTTAAGAACTTTAATAATTAGTCTAAGTAGCCCGGTTATACGGAGGAAAGTTTTCTCTTCTTTTTCGTCCTATATAAAGTTATAAGAATACTATATTTATACTTAATCTAAATATTAGGATTTGTAAAAGAAAATCTCCTTTAAAGGTTTAGGAACTTTAATAATTAGCCTAGGCAGCCCGGTTATATAGAAGAAAGCTTTCTCTTCTTTTTCGTCCTATATAAGGTTATTTACTAGATTTATTTCTATTTTAAAAGATAAGGCGATTATATAGGTCGATTGAATATTCGAGATTACTTTTTCTAGTAATTAATTAAGTATAAATTATTGAATAATTAAAATTAAAGTACCTCTTTTAAAATCTATATATAATAAGGCTACTTACCTACCTATTCTTTTCCTAATAATTAGGAAGAATTAAACTTCTTCCTTCTATTCTCTAAATATATTAATCTAAACTATTAAGATTTTTAAAATTAATTAAGAAAATTTTTATTTACCTACCTACCTCTATCCTAATAATAGATTTATTATTATAAGTTCTTTAATTATTCGTAACCGCTAACCTTACCTTATAAGTACTATTTTTAAATTGCCTCCTAATAATACTATACGTATCTTTTAATATATATAATATTAAATTTAGGAAGTCTAATTATAATTATTGTATCCGCTATAGTTTAGCAAAGTTTATCCTCCTAAAATTAACGGAGTAAAGCCTTATTCCGAAAATACTAATTGGAGATTTGTAATACTTATTAAAAATATATATATTAACATATACAAATCCCTTACCTACAAAATTACTATATTCGAATTAGATAAGCCTACGTTCTAAATCGCTATAAGAGAAGATATTATCGACCTACCCCTCGATTAGCCTATAAGAAGAAATATACCTAAAATAAAGTAGGAATTAATTATATTAGGCTTAATTAATTTATAGTATACTAATAATATAAAAAACTATTTAGAAAATATATTAATTATAGCAATTCTATATTAAATATTAAAATATTATAAGGACTGTATTTATATTCTAAATAATATTATAGAGGTTTATAACGGCGAATTAGTTAGAATTAATAGTAAAGTTAGCCGGCCCCTTCAAACCGCAATTAGAAAAATAAAATTCTAGTATATTCTAATTCAAATACTCGTCTACCTTTAATTTACTATCTTCGATTAAGGAGAATTATATTAATTCTTTTATAATAGTAACTATAATTAAGATAGGGAATCTATATTAAAGGAAGTATATATAAGGTTTTCCGTAGAAAACTATATATATATAAATATTAATAGTAACCGGATCCCCTCTATCGTTAATAGAGTTAGGTGGCGGATAGTGCCCTTCTTATATTAAACTTTAAAATAGTCCTATAATTATTAATATTTAAAAGCGGTTAGATTATTCTTTATTAATACCCCTAGAAAGGATCCCCTAAGTATAGACTTAGTAAAATAGGAAGAAGGATAGTATTAGGAATTCTATAATTAAATCCTTAATAGAGAATAGGTAGAGCTAGCTATAATTAGGTAATAAATAAGAGTAACCTATAATATTCTAAGGACTATTCAATAGTAAGTAACCCCTATAACTAAGAATTAAAAGGAATAAATCTACTTAATTATATAAAGGTCCTCTAATTACGATAAGCTTATAAAGTAAAAGTCTGTCTATTTTAAAGGTTTAATACAGTACCTACGAAGGCACCCTTTATAAGGAGAAACTATTAATTAGGATAATTAAATACTTAAAGAATTTTTTTACAATCTCCCCTAATAGGAGAAACTATCTAATTATAAGCCTATTAACTATTTATATACTATAAATAGAAATAATAAAATAATAAATCTTAAAAGAGATCTTAGTAGTATAGACTTGGGAAGATAGAGAGAAGATACGTTATAATTAAGAACTTCGACCCCCTCTTCGACCCTCTCTTTAATTAAAAAGAGAAATAGAACTCCTATAATACTAAGAGTTTAGAAGAGTACCTTTAAGGTAGAAAAATAGAAAGAACCTATAGAACTAATTAGCTTTATAACTAACGCGTAAGTATTTATTAATTACTTTATACTACCTAAGAAAATATAAGTAGACACTAACCTACGTATTACTACAAAAGTAATAGATAATATAGAAAAATATAAAATAGAGTACTATTACGCGCCTAACTTTAGAGAAGCGATTACTTAGGGAAGTAGTATTATAAATCCTAAAATATATAATTTAAATAGATTATTAAAGATAATATATATTTATATAGAGAAATTGAAAGGTAGAGGGTCGTTTATAAGCAAAGAAGATTAATTTAAGGAAAGAGAGAGAGAGCGAGAGGAGAGATTAAATAAATAGAAATCTAGAATAAAGAAGAATAAACGCAACGCCGAAGAATAAAAAGTCTAATATATAATAATTAACTAAATTTCTTTATATTCTTACAATAAATTTATTTCCCGTTCACTTTTAATAAATCTCTATACAAATTTAAAAGAAAGGTTACTTTGGGGGATCGTACTTATAAAGTTTATATAGGTAAATACCTACCTTACCTACCTATATACCTCTAATTATTAACGCTTTTCTTAAGGGTTTTTATTCATTTTTCTATTATCCTAAACTACCTAAATAATATTAAAAAGGTTAATAATTACACTTATCCTTTAATAAAAAGGAGAAGGCTTCGAATTACTTAATAAATAAAAGACTTCTATACCTCTAAATTCATTTAATTCAATACTTCCCGTCTTAGCCATCTAAAAGGTCTAAAAATCACCTCCTACCCCGCCCTCATTAAGCAAATAGCTAAGGGACTGCGGGTTCTCTACAATATACTAATTATAATAGTATTATTATTATAATTTTCTTACTATTTCAAATTAATAACAAAGACGAAATAGGTTTCAAACTCTACACTAAATTAGCTAAAACGAAAATAAGAAGTTTACAACTCCCTAAATACCTATCCTTATTAAGGTTCGCCCAATATCTATTAATAATACCTACTTCCAATTTATAATTAGACTAGGTAATACGCCTAAATTAGGCTCACTATCATCCCTAAAAAACCAGCCTAGCCTAAGAGCCCCTTTCTATAGTACCTACTAACGAAGAATTTCTAACGTTATAGGCCGTAGGACCTAGCAATAATATTACTATTAAGGTTAATAATTTTAAGTATCTTATTTGAATAATATGGCCTAGAATATAAAACTAGCAGGGGTAGCAATCTTAGGTACGGTTATAAATAAATATATTTTCGGGGAGGAGCGTTCGGTACTAGTATATTATTAAAAATAGAGGTAGTATAAGTTAGTAGAAATTAAAAGGTAGGAGACGGCCGAAGAGAGATAAGTAGTAGTTTTAGTTTATATAGAAGTACTACTACGGTTCCTCCTCCATATCGACTACGAATCTATATAATTTGTAGAGTAAAGGTTCAACCGAATCCGCTTTCGGTAATATTAAAAATAATAAAATATATATTATAATTAAATACTACTTTAAATAATTATTAAAATAAAAAATAAATATAAGAGAGGTTTAAATAATAATTAAAAATAATAAATTACGAAAAATATTACTTATAATTATACTATTTTAAAATATAAAAATAATTCCTCCACTTCTATATCCGCTAATTTAATATTTAAAAGTCTTTCGAACTTCCTTTTTTAAAATTACTTTCCCTCCTATATAAATTCCACAAACTCTTTGCCCATCTCTCTCAAAATTAGTAACTTATCCTTTCTATACCCATCTTCAAAATATTAATATATATTGTTAAATTCGACCTTATTCTACTTCCTATACGAAACATTCCCTCTATAAATTCTAAAATAAAGTAAGAAATATATTAATCCTATATTATTATTCACACACTGCTTCATCTTTCGATTATATAATACGTTATCGCTAATTTTCTTATACTTTATTTCATTAATTAAAATAAATTTTAAAGTTTTAGTATATGTCCAATCTTAACTATTATATAGTATATCCAATAGTCTAATATATATAAGTAATTGAAGGATTAAGGAAAAGGCCGTCTAATCCATCGCCTTTTATTATAGTGTATTTAAGTAACGAATATTAGTAGGAAAGTCGTTTTCTACTAATTATTTAAAATTCTCTAGAATCGGTACTCTTTAATAAATTTTAAAATATTAGATAATTATATAAAAGGCCCGAATCCCGTTACTTATAGTAAGGGTTATAAATTCCTTATTTATTTTAAATTCTCTAATAATTTAAATATTATAAATAAAAACTTTACTAGTATTTAGAATATAGTTAATCGAATCCCTATTAGCGTCTTAACCGCTATTAACCGAATTTTTACTAATATTTAGAAAATCATAAGTAGAATCTTTGCTAGTAATTAGAAGGTTCTTAGCTAAAGCTTTACCGGTATTTTAATCGTTGTAGGTAGAATCTTTACCGGTATTTAGAATATAATTAGCCAAATTCCTACCGGCGTTTTAATCGTTATTAACCAAATTATTATTAATATTTAGGATATAGTTTATTTGAATATTTTCGTAATTAAAAGGAGCAGTATTAGTAGTATTATTATTATTCTAATTACTAATCTACTCGTTACTATCCCCTCCACTCCCCCTCCTATAATAGTTACTACTTTATTATTAACTCTACCTTTTTTCCTTTTATTAAAACTAAAATAATTTATTTTCTTTATTAATTTTAGAAGGTCTATCCTCCTTATTACCCCCTTTATAAAGCCTCCTATACCCCCCCTTATTTTACTATTAAAGAATTATTTACTTTTTATTATTCCTTTTACTTTATAGCGAAACGGTCGGGGTATTCTAAGAGTAATATAACTTTAACCTTTTATAGTATAGTAGAAGGGCAGTACTTAATTTCCGTTTCTCTTTAGGGGGGAATTTAGAAATTTTTTCGAAGTTACTATAGGATAGACTATATAACTTATCTTTTAGATAGATAACCTACTTAAGTAGAATTGCCTCTTTACTAGGCAGGGTGTAATTAGTAGCTATTGTAAGAAATAGAGTATAATTGAAAATTATATAATATTATTATAGCTATATAATAACTAGGTCGCTGGGGCTAGCGTAAAAGATATTAAACTTAATTCTTTTTTCTCGAAACTTCTTTAGGCTTACTAGGATATCTAAATATTATATAGACTAATTATATTTATAAAATAGTTATTCGGTTGTAAGTATCCTTTCGAATTTAATAGTATTATCCGGGTCGATTATTATCTAAAGTTTCTACTTATAAATATTTAAATTATAGGAATATAATTATATATCCTTATAATAGAAAGCAGTTCCGGAGCCTCTTTTACTTATATATATATATAAGGTATTAATTCTAGGGAATTTACCGAGTATTAATAGTAGGCCGGATGGGAAAAGTAATATAAGTAGCGTTCTAAAGGTTTTAAATAAGCCGACGAAGTAGCTTTGGATTTTTAGCGGCGGATTTACTACTATATTATTCTAAGACTTTTTAACTTCGTTATATATAAACGGATTAAACTCGAAATCGAAATCAACGGGAATTATCTTATTCGAAGAAGTAACGTATAGCCGTAATATCCTATTATTGTACCGTTAGTATTATACAACATATTACTTATAATCTACAAACAATTAAATTTATTTAAGGATTTTTTTCTAATTGATATTTAGGTCTATAATATATATACGAACCTTCCTATAGAAATAGGGGTTTCTCTCGAATTTACTAAATTTAGTAATAAAATTATATCCGAAATCGTCTTTAATTAATAGTTTAAGGGTACTATCTTTAAGATTTAGGATATAAGAATTAATAATATCGGTTGAGTATAGTATTAGTAAGGATATTAAGAATATAGTTATTAATTTATTAAATTTAGTATTAATACGATTTAAGACTTTAAAAATTTATTAAATAATATTAGAAATACTATTAGTCCGAGGAAGAAAAGAGGGAGTAAATTCTAAATTAATTTAAGTAAAATTGTAAAAATATTAAATTTAACCTTTAATAAATTCGATTTCGCTTTGAAACGCTTCTATTATAAATTAACTCGAATTAAAGGCAATAATAGTATATAGTAGGAGGAAATATATATTGTATTAGTAGGATATATGCAATATATTTATGAAATAAAGCGGTTAATATATAGAAAGGTTTAGTAAAATTAAAAGGTTAAAAACGGGTATAAATATAGATATAAACCTAGGATTAAATTGTAGAGGGGATAGGAAGATTTAAAAAGTTAAGAGGAAATAAGGAACCTTATATAAATTATAGTAGAGTAATAGCTAATTTAGTAAAGGGGTTATAATTTATTATTTAATTATATATAATACCCGTACTTTGGCCCTACCTTTTTAAACCTTATTAAATTCGTACCCTTTCGAATATATATAATATACTAGGGGGGGTTTTAGGTATTAAATTTTCTTCCCCCCCCTCCCTCCCCCTAATACTTATTATATAGGACCTTTAGAAGTAGAATAGTTAGAAGGATTTAATTTATAAGGGTAAGGGAGGTACGGGAAAGAATATATAATTTATTAATATACTAAAATATTTATTCTATATTGCTTATTTATTTTTTAAATAGTAAAAAGAAATAATACAGGGATTCTATTAAAAATAAAGATATTATTTAGATATTATATAGTTTATAAAGAAATAATAATATTAGAAGGTATAAGAAGGATGCTATTAGAAGGAAGGAAGGCTTTTAATTAGCCGTTTATATAGAAAGGATATATTATAAGAGAGTTAGGGTATAAATTATAGGGTAACCCGGGTACGGCAATTTAGGAGCCTAGACTAGGTATAATAAGGAAGCCTCTATAGTAGCCTAATTAATTTAAACTATTATAATTAATAAAGGCTATAATATAATATAAAAGGATATAGAAACTCCTAAATTTCCTTATTAAATACCGGTTTATACGAGAAAAGAAAGTATTATACCTTAATAAACCTAATCGTCCAAGTCTTATTTAATAAATTTTAGGCCTCCTCTAATAATTTCTAATTCTCTAATAACGAATCTATCCGTCCGGAATATTCCGGGGCGTATTAGGATATACTAGTATAATATTAGTAAAAATAATCGAGGTCCGGGGACTTCTAACGAATTCCGGGAAGCCAGATAGTAATTAGGGATAATTAATTAACTAATTAGTAAACGGACTAGGGGAATTAAAATTTATAAAGAAGAGAGTATTAAGAAGGAGGTTAATATTTAAAAAGGTAGTTAGTATAAGAGAGAGAGAGAAAAAGAGAGAGAGGGGGGGGGGGGGGGGGAGGGGGGAGAGGTATTTAAAGGTACTATAACTATAAAGAAAGTTAATTCTATAAATAAATAGAAAGAGAAAAAGAAAGAAAGGGGTATAAATAGGAGTTTTCTAACTTATTAGTACGAATTGTAAAGAGTTAATAGGGAAATTAATATAATTATTACAAATTAGTACGAACTTTAAAGAGTTAGTAAGGGAATAATAATTATATTTTTAAAATTATATAAAATTAGCGAGGGAATTAGTAAAGGGGGTAATAATTATATTAATTAGTAATAATAATTTATTATTAAGAACCGTTTAATTTATAGTAATAATTACCCGTATATAAAAAAGGGAGTAATATTATTATTAAATAAATAAATAAAAAAGAAGGGAGAAGGAGGGAGGGGGAGTAATATTTATACTATAAAAATTACAATAGTAAATTTACTAATTACATTTCTAAATATACCGAAGTCTATTTGGATTATTTTACTATTATACTAATTAATATTTTTTTTATTTTAAAAGATTTCAAAGGACTAATCTCTAAGTAGTAATAACTATAGTCGTAAAGGTAAATAAAGAGGAGGTTTTATAAAGTAAAATTCTAGCGGTAAGTACAATAGCCGTATAGGGTTAAGAGTTTTTTATTACTATAGTAATTATTAGGAGTATAGAGTTAATTATCCTCGTTATATTTAATTACTATAATTATTAGGCTACTACCTAGGGAGAGGGGAATAGGCGGCTCTATTAAAAGATTACTAAATTCCTA